AATCCACCAAACCTGCACATGTTTGGACTGTGGGAGGAAACTGGAGCACCCGGAGGAAACCCACACAGACACGGGGAGAATTTGCAAACTCCACACAGACAGTCGCCCGAGGGTGGAATTGAACCTGGGTCCCTGGAGCTGTGAGGCAGCAGTGCTAACCACTGAGCCACCATGCCACCCTCAATACTGTAATTCTTTTCTAGCCAGGATGCTGTTAGGCTCATAGTTGGTTCATCTACATTTTGGAGAAGCCGTGGATAATCCCTATTGGTTCCTGTGGGCGAGGTCAGTGCCCCCCACCCAACCCCAGTGGTAGATGTCCTGCCTGCCCAAGGAAGCTGCAAGACAGAGGTCAGCAGTTTGTCATGCCAGTGGTACTGCACTTACCTGAAGCCCAGGAACCCAGGTCAAAGGTGAATGAGGTTGGAATGGAGATCCTGGGAGAGGGAATGGTGACTGGTCTAGGGGCAGAGTGTCAGAGCCATGCACAGCCAAATAAGTGTCAACTTGCTGGTGAACAAGTCTCATTGACATTGTCCCAACAGCAGCTCTGAATCCCGCATCTATCCCATCCGGCTCAGAAGGAGGGTGGTCTTCTCACTCTGAGGCACTGCACAGATGCTCTCCAGCAATGAATTGACACTGGCCCAAATCAGTTTCCGTTGTGAGAGGCTGCATTAAATCCAGCGTCACTTCTCTCAGTTTTTATGTAGGTGGGATAGTCCTCCTTTGAAGCACCTTGGGACTAAAGGTGCTACAGAAATGCAAGTTGTTATTGGTCTAAAAAAGGTGAAACATTAAAGGTCCTACAGAAGTGCAAGTTGTTGTTGATATAAGAAAGGTACAGCATAAAAGGTGTGACAGAAATGCATGTTGTTGTTGATCTAAGAAGGACACAGCATTGAAATGTTGCTTTGACCCAGAGAGTGAACATGCCTCAAACCAGATGTCAGCCTGGGATTTATACAGAAAAGGAAGAGACAGACTTGGTGGGAGATTAAGAAACAGGCAATTGTTAAACTGTGCCTTATAAAAGATCAGTTTCTTTGAAATATAGGAGCTCAGATTTGTTGAGTTGGTGCTGGTTAACCAGACGAGTTTTACTGTGATCTAAAGGCGTGTCATCTATAATGACCCTATCAAAGTTGTTATTGATTTCTCTCTGACGCAGCCTTTCAGCTTGGCTTATCATTTGGGAGTTCTGGTGATTTGTAGAAATCAGTGTTAAAAATGAAGCTCATCTTTTAACAAAAAAAAATGTCAGAAGAACGTGCAACAACAACGATTATATTAATATAGTGTCCCTGAGTATAAAAATAAATGCCTGAGTGCTTCCTGGAAGCATTTTGAAACAAAGTGTGACATTGGGTCATAGGAGGGAATGTTAGCTCAGGTGACCAGAAGCTCTATTGAAGAGGTAGGTTTTTATTAAAGAAGGAAAGTGAGGTCAGAGGCAGAGAGGTGTAGGTAGTGAACTGGGAGCTCAGGAGCTGAAGGTTCAGGGCTGCTGGTGGTAGCATGTCAATTAGCCTCATTCAGGATTCAGAATTGGAGAGGTGCAAAGTCTCCCTGAGAGATCTGGGGGAGGCCACAGAGCAAAGGCCAAGCTGATGCACGTTAAAGTGGAAGCCAGTACAGGTCAGTGAGAGCAGGAGTGATTGGGAATGGGGCTTGATAAGATGGGTTTTAGATGACTTCAGGGTCACAGGAGGAGTTGGGAAAGTGGGAGACCAAAGGTGAGTGATCAGCTAGAAAGCAGTGAAATAGTCAGGTCTTGAGGCTTCAGATCCAAGTGTCAGCAGCAAATCCGTGATTGGGCTCAAAAGTGACATTTAAAATTCGCAGAACCTCCAGGCAAGGTCCAACTCCTACAAGAGACAATCTAATCACCACCCCTTGTCATTCAATGCCATTACCATCACTGAATAAGGTCATAATTCATAAGAGATAGAAGCAGGAGTAGGCCATTCAGCCCATCGAGCCTGCTCCGCCATTCAATAAGATCATGGCTGATCTATCCGTGGTCTCAGCTCCTCCCACCTGCATTATCCCCATATCCCTTAATCCCCCTACCATGCAAAAATCTATCCAACTGTGCCTTAAATATATTTAATGAAGCTGCCTTTACTGTTTCCTTGGGCAGAGAATTCCATAGATTCACCACTCTCTGGGAAAAGCATCTCTGTCCTAAATCTACTTCCCCTAATCTTGAGGCTATGCCTCCTAGTCCTAGTCTCTCCCATCAGTGGAAACAACTTGCCTGCCTCTATCTTACGCATCCCTTTCATAAATTTATATGTTTCTATAAGATCCTGTCTCATTCTTCTGAATTCTAGTGAGTACAGTCCCAGGCGGCTCAACCTCTTCTCATAGGGTAACCCCCTCATCTCCGGAATCAGCCTGGTGAACCTCCTCTGCACCGCCTCCAAAGCCAGTATATCCTTCCTCTAGCACGGAGACCAGAACTGCGCACAATATTCCAGGTGTGGCCTCACTACCACCTTGTACAATTGCAGCAGAACCTCCCTGCTATTAAATTCAATCCCTCTAGCAATGAAAGCTAACATTCCGTTTGCCTTCCTGATTATCTGTTGCACCTGTAAACCAACTTTTAGTCATTCAGGTACAAGCACTCCTAAGTCTCTCTGCACAATAGCATGCTGCAATCTTTCACCATTTAAATGGTGACATCCGAGGGGTTATCATTGACAAGAAGCTGAACTGGACTTGTCACATAAACACAGTGGCTAGAAGAGCAGGTCAGAAGCTGGGAATACTGCAGCGAGTAACTCACCTCCTGACTCCCCGAAGCCTGTCCACCATCTACAAGGCACAAGTCAGGAGTGTGATGGAATAATCCCCACTTGCCTGGATGGGTGCAGCCCCAACAACACTCAAGAAGCTTGACACCATCCAGGACAAAGCAGCCCGTTTGATTGGCACCACATCCACAAACATCCACTCCCTCCACCACCGACGCTCAGCAGCAGCAGTGTGTACTATCTAAAATACTGCAAAAATTCACCAAAGATCCTTAGATAGCACCATCTAGAAAGACAAGGGCATGGGAACACCATCACCTTCACATTCCTCTCCCAGCCACTTACCATCCTGACTTAGAAATATTCTTGTTCAGTGGGTGTCGCTGGCTGGGCCATCATTTATTGCAGGGTCAGTTCAGGGTCAAGCATGTTGCTGTGGGTCTGGAGTCACATGTAGGCCAGACCAGGTGAAGACAGCAGATTGTCTTCCCTAAAGGACATTAGTGACTCTGATAGGTTTGTAAGGCAATAATGGTTTCATGGTTACTTTTAGACGCATGTTTTTGTTAATTCGATATTTTATGGAATTTGTATGCCGCCAGCTGCCATGGCAGGATTGAAACTAATGCCCCAGCAGGGTTCTGGTTACTCACCCACTGACCTGATCACAATAACATTTCCCCCCTGACTAAAATAATGGTGCACTAAGGCAGGAGAGATGGTGGGTGCTGTTGTGAAGCTATGAATGTTATTTCTTGTGATTCCCAGAAGTTCAAGATAAACATAACCTTGAAACTCACCTGCTGGAATGTCATCCTTAGTATATCCCCGATCCCACTGTGTACTGTGGATTGGTATTTTGACTGTGATACAGAGACTGGACTTTAGTAGTCAGTGATGTGACTTTTTAAATCCCGATATATACTCTCATGTAAAGATTTTATTCCTCAGTCATATTCCAATAATGCAATCATCATACGAGAACAATGAAAGGACTAAATTGCAAGGACCAGTTGCACAGTCTGGGTTTGTGTTTCCGTGGGTTTAGAAGGATTATCTGCTAGTGGAGTTTAATATGACAAAGTATTTGAAAAGGAAGATGTGGAGAATCCCAAACCCCCGAGAGGAGTAATCCAGAAGAAGGGGGAGAATCTTAATATCCGACCCAGACCGTTCCGTGGGATGTGAGGAAGCACTTCACACACAAGAGACCCTGGAAATCTGCCACTGTCTTCTGCAAAAATTTTTATTTTTTAATTTGATTTATTTTTGTCACATGTACCTAGGTACAGGTAGATCATACCATACACACTGCATTAGGGTAATAGAACAGAGCGAGGATAACAATGTTACGGCTGCAGAGCAAGGTCAATATTAAATTTAAAATTTGAGAGGTCCATTCAGAAGTCTGATAACATTGGGGAAGAAGCTGTTCTTGAATCTGTTGGTATGTGTGTTTAAGCTTTTGTATCTTCTGCCAGACAGGAGAGCTTGGAAGGGATTCTAACCAGGGTGGGAGGGGTTTTTGATGCTGTTGGCTGCCTCTCCAAGGCAGGGGAAATATAGATGGAGTCAATGAATGGAAGGCTGGTTGCATGATAGACTGGCCTGTGTTCTCTGTAGTCTGTGGATGCAAGGCATTATTTGAGGTTTCAAGCCTGAAATTGACTGATTTTTAACAAACAGAAACAGAAATTGTTGGAGAATCTCAGCAGGTCTTGCAGCATCTGTAGAGAGAGAAACAGAGTTTCAGAAACAGAAACAATAACTCAGTTTCGCTCTTCACAGATGCTGCCAGACTTGCTGAGCTTTTCCAGCAATTTCAGTTCTGTTTGGTCCAGATCTCCAGTGCCCATCCTTGCTGTATTTGCCAGATGTTTGTTGCGTTCGGGAATTACAGATGCTGGAACCAGGAAAGGATGAACGGATAAGCAGACTGGAGTTTAACTGGAGTTAAATGGAGTTCAGTTACAGATCAGCAATGATCTCATTGGACAACAGGACATTCTGAAGCTATCAAATAGATTACTCTTGTTCCTGTGAGATCAATAGCTTTTGGTTGGTGAAGAGTACTGAGAAATATAGAGCAAAGCTGGGTAAGTAGAGTTGGGTGATTAATCCGCTGTGATCTAATAAAATGGCAGAGGAGGTCGCTGGGGATAATGGGCCTCTCCTGATCCTGTGTTGTTCCCGTTTTGACTATATCTTCTGTCTTTTTTTCTCTCCCCATCACTTTAGGCATTGTACAGACATCCTGTGCTGTGTGCTGTTTGTTACTGTGATTCTCGGTTACATTGTTTTGGGAGTTGTCGGTGAGTATGTGACAATCCATAAAATCCAAATACTTGGTTTCTGCTTACCCTCCCTTCTTAAGCATGTTGATTGTTGAAGGACTGCATGGACAAGGCATACTGTAGTGGTGCCTCATCTCAGTGTGTGTGGAAACCGAAAGGAAATAAGATTAAAGGTTCTGGTGGCCCTTGAGCGTTCCTGTTAAGTAATAGGCCTGCTTTGTACAGTGATGAATCGGAATGAGATCAATTCTGACAGGTTCTGTTGTTACCATTGATCCACTAATGACTCCCAGTGAAAGAAGACTGGGTTAAGTCATGCCTTGTAACTAAAAGTCACTTAACTGCCCTGGTTTGATTTTTCATTCATTGTTAAGCTGCTCCAGTGAATATTGACGAATGAATACTGACACAGATGGAAGTTAATGGTAGGCAGCTTTATCCACAGCTGACCAAGTTGTGTCACCATATCTTCACCTTTAATCAATGTTGGCCGATTGTGGCCAATAATTAATGAATCAAGTTGAGAGAAAATTAATGCAATGTTCTGGTCTAAGAAAGGCTCAGTGATTCAAATCACTGAGGACTGTCTACAAAGGTCAAAGGTTAATCAGTTATTGCCATTTCAGCGCATTTATTGTTCAGTCAAACTAAGATGGATTCCAATCTTTCCAAGGATTATCAATTTACCAGAAAAATTATTTTTTTGTAAAAACATTTGCTTGTGTGATACCAGAAACCAGCGAATGTTAAAATGAAACAAAAACAAAAGAACTGCAGATGCAGAAATCAGAAACAAAACCAGAAATTGCAGGAGAAACCCAGCACATCTGGCTGAGTCTGCGGAGAGAGAAAGCAGAGTTAATGTTTCCGAACACAGAATATAGAACAGTACAGCACAGTACAGGCCCTTTGGCCCACCATGTTGTGCCAAACTTTTACCCTAATCCTAAGGTCTATCTAACCTCCACTCCTACCTTATACTATCATCCATATGCCTATCTAATAGCTGCTTAAATGCCCCTAATGAGGCCGACTCCACTACCCTCTCCGGCAATGCATTCCACACCCCGATCACTCTCTGAGTAAAGAACCTACCTCTGATGTCTCCCCGATATCTACCTCCTTTCACTTTAAAACTATGTCCCCTCGTAAAAGCTACCTCCACCCTAGGAAAAAGTCTCTGGCTGTCTACTCTATCTATACCTCTGATCATTTTGTACACCTCTATCAAGTCACCTCTCATCCCTCGTCGTTCTAAAGAGAAAAGCCCTAGCTCTCTCAACCTATCCTCGTAAGACCTTCCCTCCATTCCAGGCAACATCCTGGTAGATCTCCTCTGCACCTTTTCTAATGCTTCCACATCTTTCCTGTAATGAAGTGACCAGAACTGGACACAATACTCCAGATGTGGCCGAACGAGGCTTTTGTATAGCTGGAGCATAACTTCACGGCTCTTGAACTCAATCCCTCTATTAATGAAAGCTAACACACCATACGCCTTCTTAACAACTCTATCCACCTGGGTGGCAGCTCTCAGGGAACTGTGAACATGAACCCCAAAATCCCTCTGCTCCTCACATGAACCCCAAGATCCCTCTGCTCCTCAAGGTGACCCTGCTTCAGAACTGATGATAGTGAGGAAAAGGTTGGTAAATATACTGGAGCAGGGGTTGGGGGGAGGGGTTGGATCAGTAAATGATCAGTGGAAAAGGAGCCCAGCGATAGAGAAAAACAGTCGGGCAGACAAAGGAGTGGGTCATTAGGATCATCAGCTGCCATTTCCACCACCTCCAATGGGATGCCACAACTGGACACATATTCCCCTCCCCTCCCTTGTCAGCATTCTGCAGGGACCATTCCCTTTGGCACACCCTGGTCCACTTCTCCTCCACCCCCAACATCCCTCCAAAGCCCCACGGCACCTTCCCCTGCAACTGTCGAAGGTATAACACCTGCCCATTTACCTCCTCCCTCCCTAGTATCCAAGGGCCCAAACGTACTTTCCAGGTGAAGCAACACTTCACCTGCACTTCCTAGAATCTAGTCTACTGCATCTGCTGCTCACAATGTGGTCTCCTCTACATTGGGGAAACGAAGCATAGACTGGGTGACCACTTTGCAGAATATTTACGTTCTGCTTGCAAAAAAGGACCCTGCGCTTCCAGTTGCCTGCCAGTTTAACTCACCACCCTGTTCCCTGACCAACATCTCTGCCTCAGGCTTGCTGCAGTATTCCAGTGAAGCTCAGTGCAGGCTGGAAGAACAACACCTCATTTTCTGCAGCCTTCTGGACTCAATATTGAATTCAACAATTTTAGGGCCTTAGTACTTCTCCCATGTCCTTATCTTAACCCTCACACACGAGGCCTTGTCATCACATTTACTGCCCATCAGTCTACTCTCGATCATCAGTAAAGTGATGGAAGGTGTCAGTAACAGCGCTATCACACAGCACCTGCTCAGCAATAACCTGCTCAGTGACGCCCAGTTTGGGTTCTGCCAGGGCCACTCAGCTCTTGACATCACTACAGCCTTGGTTCAAACATGGTCAAAAGAGCTGAATTCCAGAGGTGAGAGTGACAGTTCTTGATATCAAGGCTGCATTCGATTGAGTGTGGCATCAAGGAGCCCGAGTGGAACTGGAATCATTGGGTATCGGGGGCAAACTCTCCGGTGGTTGGAGTCATACCTGACACATAGGAAGATGGTTGTGGTTGTTGGAGGTCATTCATCTCAGCTCCAGGATATCTCTGCAGGAGTTCCTCAGGGTAGAGTCCTTAGCCCAACCATTTTCAGCTGCTTCATCAATGACCTTCCCTCCATCATAAGGTCAGAAGTGGGGATGTTCGCTGAGGATTGCACAATGTTCAGCACCATTCACGACTCCTCAGATACTGAAGCAGTCCGTGTTCAAATGTAACAAGATCTGAACAATATCCAGGTTTGGGCTGACAAGTGGCAAGTGACATTCGTGTCATACAAATGCCAGGCTATGACCATCACCAATAAGAGACAATCTCACCACTGTCTCTTGATATTCAATGGTGTTACCATCACTGAATCCCCCACTATCGACATCCTGGGGGTTATCATTGACCTGAAACTCAACTGGACTCACCACATAAACACAGCGGCTACAAGAGCAGGCCAGAGGCGAGGAATACTGTGGCGAGTAACTCACCTCCTGACTCCTCAAAGCCTGTCCACCATCTGCAAGGCACAAGTCAGGAGTGTGATGGAATACTCTCCACTTGCCCCTGGAAGGGGGCAGTCCCAACAACACTCAAGAAGCTTGACACCATACAGGACAAAGCAGCCCACTTGATTGGCACTACATCCACAAGCATTTACTCCCTCCACCACCGACACTCAGTAGCAGCGGTGTGTATTATCTGCAAGATGCACTGCAGAAATTCACTAAAGATCCTCAGACAGCACCTTCCAAACCCATGACCACTTCCATCTAGAAGGACAAGGGCAGCAGATAGATGGAAACACCATCTGCAAGTTGCCCTCCAAGTCACTCACCAACCTGACTTGGAAATATATCGCCGTTTCTTCACTGTTGCTGGGTCAAAATCCTGGAATTCCCTCCCTAATAGCATTGTGGGTCAACCCACAGCAGGAGGACTGCAGTGGTTCAAGAAGGCAGTTCACCATCACCTTCTCAAGGGCAACTAGGGATGGGAAAATAATGCTGGCTCTGCCAGCGATGCCCACATCCCACAAATGAATAGAAAAAAAGCATGGACTGCTCCCACACACACCCATTGTCAGCCACTGATGGTCTCTATTAAGAGCTATTCATTCTCCCAGGCTGTCCCCCTCTGTCTAGATCTTGTTTTTTTTAGCTCTCTGGGTTCCATCTTCACCTATCATATACTCCTACCCCTCCCCTCACCCTATCTCCCGCATAGATACAACTTTTCCCAGCTACCATCCATTCTGAAGAAGGGTCACTGGACCCAAAACATTAACTCTGTTTCTCTCTCTACAAATCTGCTAGACCTGCTAAGTTTTCTCAGCAATTTCTGTTTTGGTTTCTCAAGTTTAAGTGGGTTTATTTCATCTTTTTACTCTATTGCTCTGATAATTCATCTCTTCTACAGCTTCCAGAATTCCCACCCCACACCATCTCCACAAATTCCCACACTCTCCCCTGCACCCCCCAGCACAGTCCTGTCCTGTGTAGCCTTCTCTGAGATTCCCTTCCTCCATATCCCTCTCCTTTGCTCTCTTCTCATTCCTTCGTGCCCCTCCACTCTCATTTTGTCTGCTCTAATCTCTCCTTTCCTCCCCACTTCTCTTCTCCCTTTTCTCTCGTCTGGTCTCCTCTCCTGTACACTCCTGTATTCCCCCTTTTCTCCTCTCTCCATTCCTATCCTTTCTTCACTCTTGTCTTCTCCTGTCCTCTCTCCCACCCTCCCTCCCCTTTCCTGTTGCCCTCATCTTTCCTGGTGTCCTCTTGCCTCCCACTTTCTTTCTGTTCCTCTCCTGTTCTCCTCCATCTTTCACATCCCACACCTTCTCCTCTCACTATCAATCTGAAATGTAAGAAAATTCTCACTCTGATCTGGAGGAAAATGGTCTGCAGATATTTTAGTAGAAACCTTTCTGAATAAAACTGAGCCCTGCTGGGAGGCAGTAGCCTAGTGGTATTATTGCTAGACTATTAATTCAGAAACTCAGCTCATATTCTGGGACCTGTGCTTGAATCCCACCATTGCAGATGGTAGAATTTGAATTCAATGTTTAAAAAATCTGGAATTAAGAATCTACTGATGACTGTGAATGCATTTGCCAATTGTCGGGAAACCTCATCTGATTCACTAATGTCCTTCAGGGAAGGAAATCTGCTACCCTCACCTGGTCTGGCCTACACGTGACTCCAGAGCCACAGCAATGTGGTTGTCTCTCAGTTGCCCTCTGAAATGGCCTAGCAAGCCACTCAGTTGTACCAATCACTACAAAGTCCGAAAAAAGTGAAACCAGATGGATCATCTGGCATAGACCTAGGC